TCCTGATGATCATACCGAAGCAGCTTGTCAAGAAAATCTATGGCCTGAAAGTGCAAATCAACATCACTGGACCGAAGAAAGATCTATCAACATAGAAATTCAAATCTTGGAGGATGGGAATACCTCAGGCGATACTAAATGCTGATTATCAGAATTGAAAAATCTCGACCAAGGCTTTCTGCTGTGCCTACAAGGAGAGGTGATACATTTCAGAAAGGCTCGGGTTAGGCTCATGAACAGTTCAACTAGCAGAGTGCAGTTCACAGAACAACCAATGCCATGTTAATCTTCTGGTGGCAGGTCAACTGGTCCAAGTGACCAGGTCAATTAGGGCCTTGACTATAGTTGAATGACTTGAATCACTCAACGAGCTAACCTGAGCAATTTTCATATTGGAGTCAAGTTCATTTTGACCTGAAGCATGTCCTGGGGTCTAGGGAACCATGTGGATTCTGTGAGACATGCATCGTGTTGTGGAGGGAGGCAAGGTAGGAGGAAAGTGGTAGATCTTAGGATATAAATATGAACCATACCTCCCAACCATAGCTTCAAGCTGAGGATCAAGCTCTAGTCCATACTTGTGCAAATATGCATTCAACTCATCTGTTCCAAGAACCTAAAAAATATTATCCAAAATAAAAAAAATAAAATTAGAAAATCTTTTGCATAGCTTTCGGAAAATCTAAGTGACCTTACTACCATGACTTCACTTCAAGGTGTCAGATCTACCCCACATTTGGTTTTATGTCAGTGGCATGAGGTGTTTCGGGTGTATTTTGATGAGTTGATAGAATTTTTATATAAAAAATACCAAGAATACAAGTATTCACAATTACCTTGGCAATTTTAACAAGCTGATCTTGATTGTCATGCCCATAAAAGAAAGGTTCCTTGCGAAAAATCTGCTTACATGACAGTTCAGAATAGTCATGAGAAGTTCAAACTTAAAATTATCATCGGGGAATAAGTAAATAAAATTTTGTATTCCTGAATCAAAATAGAAGAAAAGATAAAATAAGATAAAATCATGAACTTATTCTTACCATCCCAGCAAACATGCAACCAAGGCTCCACATATCCAATGAATAGTCATAGTCTTGCAAGTCAACAAGAAGTTCAGGACCCTTGAAGTATCTGAACAATATTAAAAACAATCAAAATTGTTTCAAAATGTTCCATAGTCTAAATAGTGACTACATCACTTAACAATTTTGATACATTTGTAGGTCCATGCTATTACATGTAATTGTATTAGTAGTCCACTTCTTTTCGTTACAGTTAAAACAGGTAATCATAAGCATACTTCATCCCAAATTAAAGGTCCATTCACACGAAGTTTTAAAAAAGTGTTGAAAAGTGAAAAGTTTGTAGTTGGAATTGAATTGAAAGAGAGAAATAATGATTGCCACATATTCCCCACCAAAAAAGAAATGTACCATTATTTTGGGATGAATAAAAAAGAGGTGTTTATTTTGGGACAGATAAAAAGAAGTGTGGTTATTTTGGAACGGAGGGAGTATCATACTGTTATCAGATTATGGAATAGGATTGGCAATTTTCAGCATCCCATTATACTAGTTTTATATTTTAATGAAATAAGACTGGAGATGTCAGAATGCGTTTAGAGAGTCATGATAGCAAGAGGAGTTTGGTGTTACGACTTTCTGTTTATGAAAAAAAATACAGTAATGACTTCAAACTCAAGATTAGTTTTTACCTTGAAGCCACACGAACATTATATTCCTTCCCTGGGTGGTAAAATTCAGCAAGGCCCCAGTCTATCAATCGAAGCTTTCGCAACTCATGATCAATCATAACATTATGAGGCTTGACATCTCTATGCATTATTCCTTGTGAATGACAATAATCCAGTGCCTGCAATTCCATATGAAATTCCTCGTATATGTAGTCTATGTGAAGGAATGAGCATGCAGAATCTAAGATATTGACTAGGAAGAAAGAATTTCATTTTACCTTGAGAAGCTCATATATGTAGTAGCGTATGTCATAATCTGTTAAGGTGGGGTATAGAACCTTGAAATCTGTACTATTTACATACTCAAATATCAAGCTTGGAGTTTTTGAATGCTGATCTCTGACAATGTCAAGGAGTTTAACAATATTTGTTCCTCCACAAAGGTTCTGCAATATTTTGATCTCTCTCTTAATCTGCAGCAGAGTACAAAAAACCCATTGTTTCAATGGAGCGTGTAACAAATATAGGAGAATGATTGTTTTCCGTTATTAATGAAGAGGATTTACAAGGTATTTATAGAATTAGTGCAATCAAAGTCCCCTAAGTCTTCCTAATGATTCCATATTCTATGGCATCATAAGAGAATGATGACATACTTCTAGATGCTAATTTACAACGATATTAACACCTCCTTGTCCTTCGTATGGAATACCTATCCTGGTTGTTGAACATGAGGACTAAGCACAATGGTTTGAATTTTCACCCAAAATGTGCAAAACTAAGGAATCCACATTACGCCTTTGCAAATGACTTGATACTTTTCTCTAGGGATGATCTCCTAAGTCTATTAAAATCCTCATGGATACCTTCTTTGAGTGCCAAAATATGTCTGTACTTATGGTTAGCCCTTTAACATCTAATGTCAACTTATGGCTAGCACTTTAAATTCTAATGTCTTCTTGGGAGTGAGTACACTAAAATCATGTACTTGGTGAACTCATTATCCTATATGCTGGACATGTTGAGCTTATCAAGGCTAACATACAAGGTGTGGAATACCTTTGGCTTCAAGCTCTCCATCTATTGCTTCATCCTTGATAGGCTTACCTCAATGTGCCGTAACATCCGTTGGGGTGTGAAGTTTGCAAAAAGTGATTTTGCACTTTTGCTTGATCTGTTCTTGCCTAAGGATGAAGGTTGCCTGAAACTTAAGGAGGCATAGACCTGGAACTAAGTCCTGATCTCTAAGGTGTAATGGAATTGTTACGCAAAGAAAGATAATCATTTGGTTCATTGGCTCTATAGGATCTACCTTAATGGACGGACTGTGTGGAATTGGCAACCCCACACTATAGACTCCCAACTTTTCAAGTCGTAACATGTTCAAACAGGAGAATACAATGCTTTGCATAGAGTTTTAATAATCCTAAGGAAACTTATTTGTAAACAAATATAAGTCTTAAGAAAAGCAACATAAGGACACTAAATTATTATTGCTTTTATTATTATTATTATTATTATTATTATTATTATTATTATTATTATTATTATTATTATTATTATAACAACAACAATAGGAAAATGATAATGGTAACACGTTGATGATGAAAAATAATTCAGCATGGGCGCCCATAACATTTTGGAAAAGCTATCGAATTGAGTTTATAAATCAACAAAATTTTTTGAAAAGATATAAATTATTCAAAATCATTCATTCACCACAAATAATAACCTGTATCTGAAAAAATCATTAATGGAGATGAAAAAGTTATTGAAACCCCAACCCAAGGTAGGCTTGACTGAATATGAACTACAAACATTTGTATGTACTGGATCAAATGAGGACTCAACCAATTATTGACCCTATTGACTTTGCTTAGAAGGGACTATCGAGGTTGTTTGCAAGGGTGAAAAAAGTCACAATCTAGTACCAAAGATTTGACAAACTTGGGATCATATGCCAAAAATTGGAGAGAAGCAGGTGACTCAAGCAGTTAGCCGGTTATAAAGGGTAATTATTGAATCAGAAGAAACACAAACAATTGGACATGAAATATGAAGGTAATTGAGACTCTGAGATTTACCCCTGATTTCAACAATCTTCCCAGACTCCTGTATCATAATCAGCACTATGAGTTGAGGAATACTGAAGAGACTGAGTAAATTTGCTAATAGACAAAACATTGTCCACACTTTTAGGAATATATAAGACATTTTTCAGTGGTAAGGAAGATTGTGGGAGAGCTTGTTCTACACATATGGCTAGGTTTTGAATAACATTTGTGAGAGTGAGGCTTCAGACAAATTTGACAATAGATAGAAATTATTAGAGACATGACCGGATGAACATGAATCTTGGATCCATAGATTGAAGGTGTTTGAAGCATACGTCACAGGCATGCCTACCTCTTGAATGAGTAGATGCCTTAATTGTTTGGGGACAACATGTAGATTCTATCCTGAAAACAATACAGGCTAATGGTGGTGAGTGAAGTCAAAAAAGGCAGTCCGTGAGAAGCTGCAACTTTACATGGGTGTGTCACAAAAAAGGTTGTGTAGGTTTACTGAGGAGAGAGGAGACCACTAGTGGTGGTGTTGACAGAAAACTTATAAATTGTCCTAGATCAAGGAAAAACAAAAAAAAAATTAAGAGAAGAGCCAGCATAATGTTAGGCATTCGGCCGTTGCTTTGCAAGCGGGGGATTGCGACAAGAAGGTAGTGATGGTGGTGGCTTCGGTTTTGAAGGCTCGCACCGAGAAATGATTTCTTGTCAGAAAGATTGCTATTCACATTGAATAATGATACTACTCACACCAGAAACCATACTGGCTCTGATACCATGTTACAAATATAGGAGAGAATGAATACTTTCAGTTATAACTGAAGAGGAAATACAAGCCATTTATGGGAAAGTGTTCCAAGCATTACTAATGACACCATACAGAAGATATCGTAAGAATGATGTCATACTTCTAGATCCTACTTTAACATAGTGTTGACAATTATTCTCCACAATTTTTTAGCTATTCACCAACCAATAATTTAGTCACATAATCACATTTGTATGAAGATACACAAGGGAGCATTGGATAAAGTTGAGAAGAGATCAAATAGTGTCATCCGGAAAGAGATGAGTGTTGAGAGTATCAAACAGTAAAGACAAACAAGAAAACTGTTTTTTGTGTGTGTCACCTGCAAGCATTGAGATAATTTTTCCTTTGGTTACAACATAGAGATATATGAATCTGAAACTATTAGTGAATCTCAACTAATGGTAATGAGTCACTGACATCGAAAAATTAGATGTACAAAAAAAGAAATTTAATAAGCTTGAGAAAAATCACATGTTAACCAATGTTTATCTAAAAAGTCACTGTATTTACTATAAAATCATTCCTGAATGAAGATATATCCTACCTTTTTCTTCTTAACGGGCTTTAGAATCTTAATGATGCACTTCTCATTGCTGTTGACATTTATACCCTCAAACACTTCACTGTATTTTCCTCTTCCAACTTTCCGTACAACTTCATAATCATCCTGGTCACTGAAATAGTAACCCAAGGAGTGTTAAAGAGCAAAAGATGCATCATGCATGTTTTGTCAATTTTGTGTGTAGTGTAGAAGACGGATTATCATTAGAAACAAAAGGCAGTGCTTTTGGGAAACAATGCTTCTGAGAACCATATTTCTTTGTATCCAAGACTCCAACATTTACAGGCAAGCGAGTTTGATCCATGAAGTAATGAATTTAAATTTTCAATACAAAAAGATGAATAATGTGTATTGAATTTCCTGTAGATGAGCACATGCTAAAATACTATAGTAGTTAAAGTATGTGCAAAACTACATTTAAAACAATGAAGTCACTGGAAATACTATTAATTTCAGGAAGGTGCAGCTTTGAATGGTTGCAGATGCTGGGTGAAAGATTTAACCCTAACTGGAAGGAAATAGTTGTTCTTTTCATTAGACAAACAAAATACCCACATTTTGGAAAAAGACATGCAGAGGTGATAGTATCAAATTGGAAGAGAATACATTAAAGTTATCAAATGCTGTTTTGTTTCATCACTTTAACACAAATCGATATGTGCGAGATGCCTGCTTCTGGCCAGTTTTTACTCCAGCACTTGACGAAAACTGTTCCTAACCCTAACTGTTCCATTCCGTAAATCACCACCAGACCGTAATCTAAGTAAAACTATAGAAAGGAGAGTTAAAGCGATGAAAGAGTTACCCCCACTGAACGGTGAGCGATTCGTAATCCCAATATTCCTTGGGGCGAACGACATTGATGTCTGCGTAAACTCGAGATCTGGACATGGCTTCCGAGGGGAATCTCCTGGTATTGACGAAGGGCGTGCAGCTGAGAACGGCGGCTGAAAGCCTAGCTGGGAGGTTGAGAAGCCGCCAAGGCCAGCGATAACAAAGAGGCAGGCGGCGCAGGTAAGCAGATGATGGAAAGTGTGTTCGTGCTGATTGGGCACTACTGACCCCAGCGATAACAAAGAAGCAGCGTAAAAAATGCATGGTGTGGCAAGTATTGTTTATTTGTCAATTTTAACATTTTTGACATAATTTAATTAGTTCATGTGTGTTTTATTTTTCATTTTTTTTATTAATATCTGTATTTCCCTCTAAAGTTTTTAATTATATTATTATACAGAGAAAAAATTATTTTTTTAAAATTAGTTTAATTATCTTCTTAAATTGTACTAGTTTCACGCCCGTACGTTGCACGGATCATTTCTATGTTATTAAATTCAAATCAGTTTTCAATGATAAAAAATGAGATACAATATAATATAGATATCATATTATTTTAAGGTACAAAACATCACTGTTTTACAAATTTCAAAAGACTTCTTTATAAACTACATTATCTGTATAATTTGTGGGAATAATATCTTTATTGCATATCAGAATATTCAACCCACTACGACGATTAGTTACTCTTGAAACTGCAACACGGAGTTGTCCATGACTAAATTATGTTGGGTTATTGTTACGGAAACCTGTGATAAACCCTAATTGCTCATAGCTTCATCTTTAACATTAATGACCGCTCATCAACATTTTACAAAGCAGTTAAGATCTCCATTTTCGTAGGAATAACAGTTTTGAAATGTAAGAATAAAAAATTCACGATGAATGGAATGACTATCAAAGCTTTGGAAATGGATGTATTTATAATATGATTTTTGCATACGGGGTTAAAACAATTATTCATTTTTCGAAGTGCTTAAACGAATTTAAATTACTATTACTGTATTTAAAATATTTAATTTATTATATTTAAAATTATTATAATTAAAATTACTATAATTAAAATGACACAGATTATCTAATCACACGGTCATACAATTAATATCTTGGTTAATTATTACCTTTTTTAATTAAAATTACTATAATTAAAATATAGTAAAATATAGCCATTATAAAATATAGCCACTATAATTAGAATATAGACATTATAAAATTACTATAATTAAAATTACTATAATTAATTTGACACGGTAACTAATATACAATTATGTAGTCACACGTAATATTAGATTTCATTAATAGCGTAATATACAATTTTAATTAAAATTAATATAATTAAAATTACTATAATTAATTTGACACGGTAACTAACATTTAGTTACTATAATTAATTTGATACGGTAATCACACATAAAATATAATTTTAATTAAATTTACTATAATTAATTTGACACGGTAATTAATTATATATCATTAATAGCGTGCTTAATATCATAATTTCAGACACTTATAAATATATTAATTTTTTACCATGATATTACAAATAATAATTATATTAACTTCTCAATTACCATATTATATTAATATAATTTTGGACACTTACCATTTAATTTCACAATTACCATATGTAATGGCCATACTTCGTGCACAGGTAAAAAATGGACACTATAATTTCGGACACTTACCATTTATATAGGTAATAATTGCATGGAGTAGTAATTATTACATTTTTTTGTTATTACCTTTTATTTCTATTAAATTAAATATAAATATATATATTTAAAGGGTTTTTGTATTAATTTTTTTCGATACTGTGTGTATAATTATTCTTACCATAATTATATTGTACTATAATTATACGTACATTTTTATAACCTAGTCACATGGTAATCATTTAATTATATAATTATAGTAAGAATAATCATACACACGTTTTTAATAGCATTGATTGGCGTGTAATTAAAGTTTATAAATATTTTTTATAACTTACCTTTATTGCTAGTACAAATTTCGGACATGTTAAAAATGACAGATAATTATTATAAATATAATATAATAATTATATTTATTATAAAACATAAATTTTATATTACTATACTTTCGGACACTTACCATTTTAACTTCACATTACCATATGTAACGGTCATACTCTTTGGGCGGGAAAACACAATATTGACTCCATGCCTTTTTAAATAAATTATGGATAGTCTCAGATAAAAATACTAATTTTAAAAAAATATAATGTATTTTTAGTTTCAGAAAATATGTTAAGGTATTTTTTTATAAAAAGGGTTAGATTTTTTTTTTAAAAAAATTGGGTTTGGAACGATGAAAAAAATTGAGTCAAAACACATGCAACAAAAAAAGAAGGATCAGATGGTTTAGCAAGTAGCAAAAAACTATATAAAAAAAAAAGAAAAGTGGTACTAAGAGCATTAGCAATGGCAAGTAAAGAAATAGAATTCCACGCGATGACAAGGCATATTTCAACTAATTAAAACAGGTCCAGTCACAGAGTGGCAAGTGAGTGGAGTGTAAGTCCTACAATGGCAAGTCATTACTTTTTTTGTTTTTTAAATTTTTTATGTATATTAACCAATAAGAATTATTTTTATCATCTCTTTTAACATACAAATGCTACGTATTTCTATTACCTTCATAGAAAAAGCTTTTTTATATAAAAATAGAAATTGAAACTAAAAATAAAAATATTTCATAGTGAATAATCAAATTAACAAATTTAAAAACCATAATACAAATTAAACAAAATAAATCAAAAACCATGAGAAGGAGATGATTGAGTAATTCCCCACTGTGTTCTTCGTCCCTGTAGCATGAAAAGGAGATTGAGTAATTCCCCTCCTTATTTCGTTCTAACGTTAAAAAAAGAAAAAAAACAAAAAAGAAAAATTAGGCATTCCATGCCTTGGCAATGACTCGCAGAGAGAGTCAAAATGCAAATGCCACGCGAGGGGAAATATAGTTGGTGCTGATGTGGCAATGCGTGGAGGCTATTTGCCTCGCCACTGCCCATGCTCTAACCCATTATGCCGTTCATTTCTCCTCGCACAAGCCATGCATATAGTGTGTGGTGGCTCATCATATTCCACGCAAGTCAATTATTGCCTCTCCAATTGTATTTTCTTCAATTCCACTAATAATATGGTAGGGCAAGGCAATGACTTGCCTTGACATTGCATACACTACTCCCTTCTCTAAATTATTGTTCAGTCTTCTACTTTGGAATTTTGGATAACTTTTGTTTAAATATTTATTTTCATTTATCTTTAGAAAAAATAAAATAAACATGTTGGCGGAATTTTTTATATAGTTGGAGTATATTTTAAAACTCATATCACACATGTACACGAGTTATATTTATGTTATTAAATTATATTGGTATCATTATTGAAGAATAGAAATAGACTGCATAATAAAATATAAAATTATAAAACATGAATATCAAATGAATTACAAATTTTGGAAATCTTTTTTATAAAGTACATTGGTACTAATGAATCACTGATTGCAACCTCATGTTTTTCGTTAAACGCAACACGGTGCAATGTGTTTAAGTGTAGGAAGAATTAATCGCTGAATTAACAATATCTTGTCCGATTCATTTTGGAATTATTGGCAATATCTGATGAAAATCTCCACGGACAACTATATTTCCTCCGAACATTTGATTTTCACTCATTGGACTGGAAAATCATAGAATATTGTGCAAACTTCTATTTAAAAATTCAAAGCAATACTTATGTGTCATTGATGCTTCGTCCTAAATAATTAACTTTGTCTTCATTATGAGTTGTGCTAGTAGAGTTCCTTGCTCTATATTGCATGTTGAATTTTCATCCGGGTTCAACGGAATTTTAGAACGCGAATGAAAAATTCTTTCACCTGGCAAAAGTAATGATGCTTTTATGGTGTATCTGTATCCTTACACACCTTCTAACATGTACATGCCATGTCCATTGACTTATTTGAACGTGGTTGAATTATCTACAACGATTCTCTTGAAGAAATTATTTTTTGGACTCTTGATATCGCCATTGCCCATAATGTAGCTTTATTGTTTGTTGGAGTGAAGTGAAACATGGACACATGCATCCTCCTCAAATTCTCCTGAAATTCATCCAAAAATAATTTAGATTAATGCGATGTGAACTATATTAAATTGATTCTCGCAAGGTAAAACTGAGGAGTTTGGGCTGTTTGGCCTCAAACAGGAAAACAAAACTTTGTACATCTAAAACATTAATCTTGGTGTTAAAATTATGAAAATTTTACTCTAAATTGCTCATAGTTCAAATTTCTAGAGCTCAAGCATTCCACAAGCTTCAACAAAGAGGAAAAAAAGATGTACATCTCCAATGGTACATTTAGCTTAAGAACCAAACAAGCCAATGCAAATTGTTTTAATGACAGACAATTCTTTTCCATCAAGACCATCATATCCATCCCAAACACTGGTTGCATCAATCATTGCACTCTCATCCTGCTGGTCTCCGCGGCTCTCACTTGCATGAAATACGGGTGGGCCTAATAAAAGCAAATATGTGAAATCATGTCACTCTCATGGCAAAAATCTAACTTCAAACATTGATACTATTTTGGCAAAATAAAAATCAAACCAAAATACCAAACCAAATAAATGTTGTTTCCCAACCCAAGAGTAAGGTCTGGAGGGCATGATCTATGCAGACCTTACAACTATTTCCATGGGCAGAAAGGTTGTTCCAAGAGGGAACTGTTGATAGATCACGGTGTACAAAGTCTAATGGATATGACATGTAGGTACAAGTTCAAGAAAATGTGATGTGCGGTCAAATATTGAGAAAAATCATGAGATGCAAAGACCAATTTTCCCATAACACACAAATCGTTAGTGAACGAGCCAGTCTACCATTGCTTCTCTGGCTGTAAGCCTATCCTGATGATCATACCGAAGCAGCTTGTCAAGAAAATCTATGGCCTGAAAGTGCAAATCAACATCACTGGACCGAAGAAAGATCTATCAACATAGAAATTCAAATCTTGGAGGATGGGAATACCTCAGGCGATACTAAATGCTGATTATCAGAATTGAAAAATCTCGACCAAGGCTTTCTGCTGTGCCTGCAAGGAGAGGTGATACATTTCAGAAAGGTTTTTTGTTACAACTTAAAAATACTTTGGATGTAAATAATGGTTATAATATATTACAAGAGGGTTTAAATATGTGTTTGACCCATGTATTGCCACCTCAACCCACACACCACCAGCATGATATTAAAACGGCTCGGGTTAGACTTATTGAACAGTTCAACTAGCAGAGTGCAGTTTACAGAACAACCAATGCCATGTTAAT